ATTTTCGTATATTCCATGTAGGCCAAGGATGAACCGGAATGAGATGCCTGTTAAGTTTATTTTGAAGAGAGTTTTAAGAGTCCAACGGTCAGCAAACCGTGTCGTGTCTTTTGTTATGATAATGTAATCAGAACAAAATTCAGAGGCATAATATAATCGACATTGAATAGAAAATAGGTGGAGGAATGGAATACACGTGTCGCAATAAAGTGATTTATTATGTCAATTGCGTTAAAACCTTGGAACTAAAATGATTAAACTCGTTCACAGTTTACGATTAACGAAAGAATTTTTAGAAAGAGGTCATACATATGTAGAACAATCAGTCTCACAAATTTTCAAATTACGTAATTGGGAAATTGATTCTAACTGAACGTTTCAATTCGCATATTCATCTGTTATATCTAAAATATAAAAACAATAAGAGTCTCGTTATGATAGAATAAATATGTTAAAAATTATAAAATTAGTAAGTTAAATAAAAAAAAATTTATATATACATATATAAATTTATGTAAAAGTATAAAAATATATATTTCTTTTCGCTGATTTTCGTGCTTCTTATTTATAAGAGTACCAATATTATATAGATTTTTTGTATAAAACATTCTGAATGGCAGTGACGAAACTCGAGACACAGCATCCGTACAAAGTTCAGTCGATGTGTGTCTGATAATGTCTTATTCATGAGTGATAACGGGGGGCGTAGGTCGGACTCGCACTTCGAAGCCTCTTCGCATTGCATCTAAATTGCGAACGTTTTTGTCATTCTCCTGATCATTTTGTCTTCTCGTCTTTGCGTCACTTCGTCGTTTAAGCTCAAGATGCCCGAATACGATATCTTACGCTTTCCGTATAATTTTCAGTCAATACGACGTATAAACGGGATAAAAATATCGTCAGCATCCGTTCGCAAAGATCGAATCGTTTGCGTAGCGTAAATTTGCTTAATCCAGAAAAAGATATTCTAAAAATATTCCATCTGATTGTGGCATTCTTATATCTTATGAATTTAAAAATACATCATATGACAAAGAAAGATAAAAATCATGAAATGCGAAGCCAAGAAGAATTATTTTTTCGTCTTAATGATTACAGATTTATCGATTTATTTATCGAAAATTAATGAATTCGCTTTTGCTGTCGATTCCTATGAAGCTACTTGGGACACAGATGATGCGTTTTGGTCGCATGCGACGATATTTGTACGCACTATTTATTTCGGCAAAACTGATACATGAAAGGCGATGATTGCGAATTCCGTGTTCTTTTTTAAACGAAATTTGCACCGTTGAATGTACTGACAACTCGTTTATTATTTTTGTTTCACAAATTTGCGAGACTTATTTATGACTGCTTCTCTCTTTAAGAACGAATATATTTTTTTAAAGAAAAAAAATATGTTATAAATATATAATATATAATTATGTTGAAAAATTAAATTATATTATAGAATATTTTATGACCGACTATATATATTAACTTCTTTTATAAATCTGGAATTTAAATTATAATTTTTATTCGTATTTACATATTAATATCAATTTATAAAAGACGAAATTTGTATTATTTTCGTCCGAGAAAAAAAGTTTACATATAATTATATATGATAAGATCTATTCATATTAGATCTATTTACTATATATATATATATTACTGTAATATTCTATTATTATAATATATTTATATTATGATATATCTATTTATATTTATATGTTATTATATCAAGATATTTATATTTATAACATTACATAGAATTATGCAGAATTACATTAGATTTTCTTTTTCGAGTCTTATCATCGTATTTTTGCAGAATTCGATATGGAATTATAAATATTTTGATATAATTAAAGTAAATAATAGTAAATAATAGCTCTTATTATACATATATTATATATAATTAGATATAAACTTTTTCTCGGGTAATTTGTATTTTTTTACGAAATATTGTACTACGCGTAATTCTTGAATAAACATATAAAATGTACATGTTTTTTACTCACGGCAGAAATCCTGATCCATATTTTGTGTCGTCTATCGATTTCGCAATAAAGAACCATGTCGCCACGCTCAAATGGCGTGATAAAATTTGTCGTGTTCTGACGCAATGGCTACTTTATACCCTCCAAAGATACGACCAAGTTTCAGACGTCGCGGCGACATCCGGGCGCCAACGAGTCTGCACTTTTCGAGCATATTGCGGCCCCTGCTTCCTTTCCACTCGACACACGTTTCGCCTTTCGGATATAATCCCCACATTGATATAAATTTCATATGCAATGAATCCGTAACTTTGATACACAACATTGTCGAGGTTGCATCACGCAAAGCGCAGAATTTTACTCGGTAGATGAGAATTAATTAAGTTATGCATAGTAATAATAGTCATAGTAATAATAATCTCATTCATTCCAAACATATTATGTCAAGAATATGAGTTGAGTAAAACAAGGTAAATATTTCCTTTTTGACGATTTAATTTAATAAAGTTGATTGTCTATTATTTGAAATCAATTTTAAATTAAGATCATACAAAATTATTAGTTTTTAATTTAGCATCTACAATACAACAAATATTAGATCGCGATTATTTATTTTTTAATATATATTATGTTTAGTTGTTAGTGAAAATATACAGAATGACAATTGATGATAAGATGAAGAGGACTTTAGATATAAGTTAATTCCATATTATCTGATTTCGAGATCAAATCGTATAACTGTTTTCTGAATGAATTTATTCACATTAATCCGTTACTCTTGTAGACGATCTTATATAAAACTGAGTCACGCTTCATTTATAATTCAAACTCTTCTCTCCCTTCAGGCCGAACGCGTTTAAATCGCGAATCATCGCGTGTACGGTGCCTTAAACAACTACCGAATAGATTCTGACGGTATTTCTCGTCGCTTAACTAATGCTTCGTAGAAACCGGAAGTCCTTGCGATTCGCTCTTTGCACCATGCGGCGCACTGTCGTGACTACAGAAAGGCGCCTTCTCGATCGCCGCGGCAAGATAAGATCGACCGATATCCCGCTGGCTGAACGCGTCCGTTACCTTCGTAACCCCTTGCAACCTTATCGCCCTACACCTCGTCTTGATAACGGAGCGATATTCGCTTGCGAAATAACGTAGTTAACATAATGCGTAATAAATGCGAAACGTATATTACGTGGAATAATATGCAGAAGAAAAGGACATTCTTGTTTTGAAAATATATTTAGTTTTAACATGGAAATCTTGAAATGAGATTATATTTCGTTAATTAAAGAAAAATATAATTGCTTGAATAATACTGGTCAACACTCAAATTTTTTCCTGACATTTAACATGTATTATAGGTTATATCTAAAGCACTGATTACGAAAAAATACTAAGTTTAATTGTATCAGCTCTACTTTTTTTATTTATAAGATATTATAATTATATCGATTATTGATATTTTTGAAAGATGTATTCGCCACAAATATAACAAAAACTATCTGGATTATGTAAATAACGTCTCCGAGTCGAAGACATATCGAAAGTTTAAAAAATAATAATTTTGAGTCGAGTAAAACTTAAAAAAATTGCATGTGATGTCTAAAGGGGGGAGTCTAAAAATATTAAAAAACAAGAGCTGTTAAAAAAACTACTATCGTACTCGAAATCAGCACACTTAAATAAGCCCAAAACTGCAAAATTATAAGAAGAAAAAGTTAAAATTATTTTTTTTTGTTGGCCAGTAATTGCTCACTTGAATGAAACCATTTTATATAGTTCAATCAAGAAAAATATATTCTTATGATTTAAGTTTTGATTTTTTTGAATGGAAAAGAAACAATGTTGGATAGAAAATAACATTTTTAAATCAAAGATTATAATTTTCTTAAAGTGAAATTAAATAATTACATATTCTTGAGCTGACAATTGCAATATTAAAATAAGACTATAATATTGTTGAAATTTAAAATTATTAAATTCTTTTAAGAAGATTATAAATTGTTGCGTGAATACGAAACAATGCACGCGTTAATTTAAGTATATAAATTTTGATTTGACACTCTTATTTTTTTTCTGTATAATTGATTATGTTTGCAGTATAATTAGACTAAAGCTAGAATAGGACAAACTGTTTGAATCGTATCGAAAATAAAAAACAAATGTGCAAGATTGCGCTGAGGATGAGACTTTGAATCCCACAAATATACACATACTTCCATTCGTTTAATCTAAACTTCTCGATTAAAATTATAGATTTGTAAAAGTTATACGATAGGAAAAGATTTTTTTTCTTCAATCCAAACACATAATATATTGCATTTTATGATCTGAATTACTCGTCACGGTTATCTGAGTGTCACGTGCATTAGATCAATATGCAGTTGTGTGACACTCTCTAGGCGTAATGTCACGCGTGAATGTTATTTATATATATATATATATCGGTTGATTAAGCAAAACATGATATTATTTTGCGATTGATATCCGAACAACTAAAAAACTTCATTTATCTGGTCACGCATATTTGCTATCTTGTAACAATGTTTGTCACGGATTCCCAATATAGAACATGTATCAAGTAAAGAAATTGTTGATAGTGAAGGAATATACGTAATTTGAAAAAATTTCATGAAATTATTAGTGTGTGTACACACACATACACTTAGTTACTGCAATAAATTAACGTGTTTTGCTTCTCTTTGAAAATAAAATTCCTCACAGATAATCATGAATTTATCCTATTTTGAAATAATATCGTGAGATTATAAACATTATATATAATGAGATGTATACATTTAAAAAAAAATACCATGTTTTGATAACAGAACAGGATTTCAATAATCTTGATTACTTCATTTTCCATTTTTTCCTCCATAGCTTCCAATTCGTTTAATATTCTACTCGAAATAATAGGATCACTAAACAAACCATTTCATTACTCTATGGGAGTCGTGACCAAATTAATCCATTACTAACGAACAGTCTCAATGGCACTAATCACTTCGTCTGTTGCAGGATGAGAAGATCACGATGCTGAGATCCAGATCCTTAGTAGGCCTGCTGATCCTCGTGATCGTGCTGAAGACAGCACACTCGAATCATTGTCTGACGAACTTGGAAGGTAAATCGCCGATCATTATCGTCAGTTCGATCGTTGTAGCTCAATTATAGCGCATTTGTCAGCTCTGAAGATGCTGATATCATTGATTCGCCATCGGAAAAACGACGTCACGTGGAATAATCGATAATTGGTGCGATGGCGAGGCGTGGCCGGACATTAATTGAATCACGTCCACGACTCATCCATAGATGATTATTCGCTGTTGTTGATGAATAATTAGATATATCGCAGGCGCGTAATGACAAATTGAATTCGCATTCCATGTGCATTAATGTAACTGCGCCACGTATAACTTACCCGCTTATTATCGAATATTTAAATATCGCAGATTGCAGATTGGCAATAGCCGGAAACGTTCTTCCACAAACTACATGTTTTTCTCAGATGTTTACATCGATCGAATCGAGCGATAGAATAACCTTGCATTTCTACATTTGCGGCGATTCTCTAACTTGTGTTTTTCAATTGTCGAATAACAATTTTTACCATTGTTTATTATATACGTTCGAATTACAAAGTCCCTTTCGCAGTTTTTCTAATCGCTGCCCCGACTTCTTTAAAATTTTTAATTAATTAATAAAATGCTTTAAAAAAATTCTAATTAATTAAATAAATAATTTAATCAATAAATTTTTTTATTAATTAATAAAATTCTTTAACTGTATATGTTATAATGCTATAATTTTTTACTATATGTAAGTTTACAAAAAAAAAGAATTTAAAAAGAAAAAATTTTTCGAGATAAATTTTTTATGAATTACAGAAGTTAATCCAAAGAGGATAATTCATCATGAAGGCCATTTCTTGAACATTCAATTTGAAGTATCGAGAAGAGTCACTCATAGATTGACGTCGGAGATCATGAAAATTTTTTTGACCGAAGTACTGGGTTACACCGGTATTGGCATTATCAATAAGGATGACAAATTCAACGCATCTGAGGTCTTCGAAAGACTATCCGAGAAGCCGACGTACAATGGACACAAAATGTATGATAAATGATCGTAATTAATATACCACTTTATGCAATCCTGATTCTAGCCTCTTTGATTTCTTGAATTATTTTATTTGATCTTATTTTATTTTATCTACCTTTTTACTTTTTGTTTCACAAACATGATTATAATAGCTTTTCGATCATTAACTTTTCAACGAGCTCGTAAATAGCATTAAATAAAATAGTAGTATTGAATCGTAATAAGTATCGAACTTCTAACATAATTGCAGGAAGTGAATAGAATTTATAATTTTTGATATGTATATTTAATTTATGAAAATACATCTTTCATACATCTTTCATACTAGAATAAATATCAGCAACATTCAATTAATGAAAATATCTACTATGTTGATTGCAAATGTATGCTTTTTCCAGCAAATAATCAGAATACACATACTAATAGAATGTATGCATGTTTATTTACCAATATTATATTAAGGTTCTCTCTTTAATATTTATATTAAAAATTATATATGTATAATATTTATATTAATTGAAATATTATATTAATATATTATTTAAAATATTTATATTTTAATTAAAATGTTTATATTAATATTTATATCAAGCTTCTCAATCATTTAATAATATTTGTTTGTGTGCAAATCAGAACAATGTATCTATCTTGACATATTTCAATTGTTGAGACGTATCCAATTATTGCGAGATGTGACAATATATATATTATGTCACAATACAATGTATAGAGCTAATTATTAATATTTGGCTGCTACATGGATGCAAAATGGAAGGGTCAAGTCACTTCAAATTTAATATATCTTCTTTTGTTACAATAAACAATAAACAATTTAATTTATATAAATTATTAGATGATGACGTATTTTTTATATTCTTTCATTAGATACATAAATGTCATCAATATTGAATCGAACAAATAGCTAAATAAATTTGCGTCTTTGCGATCTTTAAATTTAACAGAAGAATATACGCATTTGAATCGGACAATTATCGCATAATTAATTCTCTTTTATAACAGAGATAACAAAGATCCAGAAACGATGGTGAACATGGAAGTGTGGATTCCGCCGCAGCAGGACACGTCGCCGCTGCTGAGTAAATACAACGTGAAAGAATGTGGCTCGATCGCGCCACCGGGACACTTTGGTTGGTTCGTTCCGAATGCGTTAGCCAGACCCGATGATAACTGGCTAATTTTCTCCAAATTGGAAACCGCCAGCAGGTTCGTCATCGACGAGGCGATCATCAAGAATTCCACGATGAATCCGGATACGAGGGATTATTATTGCCACGAAGTCTTTTGCAAGGACGGGATGTATATCCCGGAACAATGTCAAAGTCAAGGACAGCGGTGGACGCCAAAATGCGCGCTGCTGCTAGCCGAATACCCAGACGTTACGCTCTTTGTGAAGGAGCACATCGATCAGATGAAGCTCTACGTCAAGGTGGCGTGGGTGGGTCCGAATCTCAGATATTTGACCAAGAACTTGACCGAGGAGTACATCCGATCCGCACGAAACTCATCTTCCATTGAGAATAGGTATGGTTGATTTTGTACACTGAGAAAAAAATTATATTGAATCAACATCATATAATATATAATTGAAATTTATCATATTAATTCAATAACATTATTAAATCAAATCAGTATCATGACGTATTGATTTGATTGATGATGTTATTGAATTAATAAAATAAATTCCAATTACACTGATGTTGTTGATTGAATATTATTTTTTTCTCAGCGTATACTATGTAATTTAATCGAAACAATTGATATTAATAAATAAAAGATTTTTTGAGTTTCATAAAAATTTCTTTCAGATCGTTGATGATTTTACACTATTCGCCCAGCAGTGTGATTCCGAATGAGAAGGACTTTACAACGATATATTTTCCACGTTGCGGTGCGAAAGAGTCGATCAGCTGTGCCTACGAATCGAACAGACTAACGAAGTTAGTATGGAAAAGGTTGGAAATGATCGCGAAAATGGCTTTTCAATCGATCAGTCGCGCAAAGTTTAGCCGAGAGATGTATGAAAATTTAATCGTGCGACGTATGTGGGCAGCGAGTAATGTTTCGGACGAAGAAATCGCCTGTGACTGGTTGAAAGAGAATCTGAATTATACCTTGACGGAATGGAAGCCCAGCAACGAATATAAAAACACCTTATTTGTCGGCGGAATATTTCCTATGACTAACGATTCATACATTGGAAAATCGATTGTGATCGCCGCTAAGATGGCGAAAGAAGTTATCAACGTTAATAACACTCTGCTGAGAGATTACAACTTGACCCTGATGGCCAACAACGGCCAATGTAAATCGGACATGGTAATGAAGTCTTTTATCAATTATATCGTACAACCTGATTATTATCAGAAACTGGTCGGTGTATTGGGACCAGCTTGCTCGGAAACTGTGGAGCCATTGGTCGGAGTGTCGAAGCATTATAAAACAGTGATTATTAGCTACAGCGCCGAAGGATCCAGTTTCGATGACCGCAGCAAATATCCGTACTTCTTCAGGACTATCGGCGAGAACAAGCAATACAAGTATGTCTATCTGCAGCTTTTGCAAATGCTGGGTTGGCATCGAGTCGCTTCTTTGACGGAAGATGGACAAAAGTACACCGAATATATATCATACATGCAGGACCTGCTCAGAGATAACGGCATCACTTTCGTGGCAAATGTCAAGTTTCCAAGAGAGCGAGAAGCCGACGTTATGACGAATGTATGTTTAATTTATGAGAAATGTTGTGCAATAGGCTAACGTAATAAAGATTCATAAAAAAATTGCCGATTTAAATAAATTTTCAATTTATTTAAATGACGTGCACGATACTTGTACAAATAGAATTCGTGAAATTAATTTTAATACTTTTAATAACATTTATGCGAAGATGTATCCCCATAAATTATAATAATTATTAATTTTCAGTACTTAAAAGATTTGAAAGAGAAACGAGCAAGAATTATTATCGCAGATGTGTACGGTGACGTAGCTCTTCAGGTCATGTGCGAAGCATATAAATTGGAGATGACAGCTGCTCAGGTAATAATCACGTCACTTTGTGCTCGTTATTTACGAATGAATTATAAAAATATAATTAAAGATAATTCAGCAGTTTCAACGATTTAATTTTTTTGTCAAAGGGCTACGTCTGGTTTCTCCCGCTTTGGCTTCAGCAACAATGGTATAATCCTGATTATTATAAGCAAGAAGGCAAAAAAGTACACTGCACTATGAGCGAGATGATGAAGGCCATAAACGGACATCTCGGCTTGTCGCATGCATATTTCGCTCGCGATGACAGTATAATGCAAGAGGGAATCACAGTGCGCGAGTGGCGCGAGCGTTATGAGAACACTTGCCGAATGCAGGATCCTCCGTTACAGCCCTCTAATTATGCCGGTTATGCCTACGATGCTATGTGGACTTATGCTTACGCCATGGACCGACTTATCCATGAGAATGAGAGCTACGTCTTCGATCTTCATAGTGATCATACGGTCAATCGTCTCACAACCATTATCGGAGAGAGTGATTTTAATGGGGTTGGTTTTACAAAAAACTCTGCACATTTTATATGAAAAGAGTGGTTAAATTGGCTGAAATTAAAATATGTTGTAGTTTAAGTGGTGCTGATTAAAAATTTCCTCGAGCAAAAAATCCGAAAATCAAAATTCTGTTCTTCAATACATAAGATTAAATTAATATATAAATATTTAAAAAAATATTTATATATAATGTATTACTTATACAATATTTACTGATTCCAAACCCTCTCTATTAATTATATTTATTCTTTTATTCCGTGATATTATTATATTTATTATTTTATCTGTTCAATTTAATTTAACTATTATATCTATTTATTATCTATTATTTTATTTTATTTTGTATATAAAACAGGCGGTTCTTAAACTTGGTTTTACCACTTACTTCAAAAATCATATTTTATATTTTTATATTTTTGATTTTCGGACTTTTTACTCGAAGAAATCTTTGATCAACACCATCTAAAACTACAACATGTTTATATTTCAGCCAATAGCTTATTGCATAACGATGTAAAATGATATATAAGATGATTTATACATATATAGCACTAACTTTGCAGTAAATTTTCAAGAAATAATTCGGTTAAGAGATTTGGAATCTGTTATTAAAATATACCTTGCAATAACCTTGCAATATATAGTGAATCACTGTATATAAACGACAATGCTTTACAATAACTAAATATATTTCCATTTTTACAATAACTAAATATATTTCCATTTTTTCTAAGGTATCCGGAAGAATACAATTTCTAGGCAGACCATCGAGATATTCCGTTATTAATATCATACAATTTATCGATAATGAGACACGTATTGTTGGTAATTTCTATCCAAATATTTCGGAAGTCAAACACGAAGTAATCGGCGGAACATTGGATTTAAATATATCGGCTTTTGTTTGGTTATCGGAGACGAAGCCTGACGATGGTTCAGAGCCTCCGGCGAGATGCGTTTTGGCAGGATTGGCAGAATTACTGGATGTCTCTTGCGAAGTAGCGATAGTGATTGCTAATATCATCGGTTTCGGTCTTCTCGGAGCGATTTTAATCATTGGCTTTATCATGATTAAGCGAAAGTACGTTCATTGTAATTATTATTTTACATTTATTATATCATAATAGATATATGTAGGATAACATAAATATTCTTCAAGATATTGTATTCTTGTTTATTTTCGTTTAATTATAATTCTCTGCTATTTTTTTATAGGTACGATGAAAAAGTACGACAACATGAAAAATATATGAAGTCCCTGGGTATCGATCTATCGCAGACGGACACATCTAGTTTAGACGTGTGGGAAATTCCTCGAGATAGAGTAGTAATTAATCGAAAACTCGGAGAGGGAGCTTTCGGTACCGTTTACGGTGGTGAAGCTTTCTTCCCTGACAAGGGCTGGCTAGCCGTCGCTGTAAAGACTTTAAAAGTCGGCAGTTCGACCGACGAGAAGCTTGATTTTTTGAGCGAGGTCGAGGTCATGAAGAGATTCGAGCATAAGAACATAATTAGGTTATTAGGTGTGTGCATAAAGTGCGAGCCCGTGTTAACCGTGATGGAATTTATGCTTTACGGCGATTTGAAGACCTTCCTGTTGGCCAGAAGACATTTGGTCAACGATCGGAGTTACGAAGACTCCGATGAGATTTCAAATAAAAAATTAACCGCCATGGCGTTGGACGTTGCTAGAGCGCTCAGTTATTTAGCGCAATTAAAATATGTTCACAGGTGGGTGGAAGATTTTCAAGATTTCTAGTCGCAACGCTAATATTAGCGATGTAATAATAATTATTATAATTATTATTATACTAAATCGAAAGGAATTAGGCTTGTTATGTATTAAACAACACGACAAGAAAACAAGCCTCTCCGAGCCACAGCGGATGGTAATGCCTAAAAATTCTTTTAATTGTACGCGAAATTTTTAAACAAGAACAAGGCATATGCATATTTTTACTTGGTGCATTTACCAAGATATAGATTCTCATTTTTGAGAATTCTATAAAACCTTTATCCCCCTGAAGAGACGTAGACGAGAAAAATATCGGGGCGAAGTTGCTGAATCGGAAATCGAACCCGAGTCTTATGCCTTGTTCTCGTTAAAAATTTCGCGTACAATTAAAAGAATTTTTAGGCATTATCATCCGCTGTGGCTCGGAGATGCTTGTTTTCTTGTCGTGTTGTTTAATTATTATTATATAATAATAATAATAATAATAATAATAATTATTATTATTATTATTATTAGTATTAGTATTATAATTATAATTATTATTATAATTAATTATAATTATTTTTTTTTCTTTCAGAGACGTCGCTTCTCGCAATTGTCTGGTGAATGCCCAGCGCGTGGTGAAACTCGGAGACTTTGGTATGACGAGACCAATGTATGAGAATGATTATTATAAATTTAATCGGAAAGGTAAGATATTTTCAGTACTATAATTTCATAAAAGAATTTGCATTGGCAAAATTTTTATTTGCCCACAGGCATGCTACCAGTAAGATGGATGTCGCCAGAATCGCTGGCGCTAGGAATCTTCACACCAGCATCCGATGTCTGGTCTTATGGCGTGATGCTTTACGAGATTGTTACATTTGGCAGTTTTCCTTTTCAAGGGATGAGTAATAATGAAGTACTCTCGCACGTGAAAGCTGGTAATTGTCTCACTGTGCCGAAGAAAGTAAAAATGCAACTGTAAGTAATTATCTCGATGATTGTAGCATCTTATTTAGCGATTCTTTTGCTATATTTTATTTTTCTATATTTACAGCGAGAATTTAATGTATTCCTGTTGGAATGTGGACCACACAAAGAGACCATCGGCGCCGGAGATTGTTGACTTTTTGGCGACAAATCCTCGCATCATTGCGCCGTGTCTCGATGTGCCTCTGTCAAGTGTGCAGCTGGAGCACACCGCGCAACTTGACATACAACTATCGGAGAATAACCGAAAATTCTCAATTTCGTGGCCATCACAGCGTTCAGACTCTCAAACTCAAGAATTGAAATCCCCGAACTCGCCAACGTCGCTTCTACTGGACTTGAACGGTCAAGATGACGATCAGACTTTAGACTCTCTGCTGATCGGCATATCTAGTGAACAAGACAGTTCTAGCCCTCTACTGGACTCTACAAGAGCCTCGATTTTGAAGCAAATGTGGCTTCAAGAGAATTCAAATGATAACCAAGCTCACAGGTATGTCAATCTTCAGCCAGGTATGCTAAAATTAGCCTGCGAATCCGGCAGAAATGGTAGCGCTGGAAACATACAGATGGAGGAAAAAACGTCCATACTGTCCGAAAAGAAAAGCACCGATAACATGTCAGTGCTCTGACATAAGTAGATGATTTTGTAAAGAAATTGGAAACTAGTCAGATCCTCGAAGCGGTGTTCTATTAAAGAGAAGTAACTGTACAAGCTCAACACCAGAATCCAAGATACACTATTCGTGTTCTAGAATAAAGTAAAAGAGTTGACTCGAATGATTCCAAGTAATACGGATATATGTGAGGGAGGAAGTCTATACGCTCATTTGGTCAATGAGCGGCAGAAACCGTTGCAACGGTATCGACAACATATTCTGTGTAGAGAGCATTCAGTCCGACAAATAATTGCTAGAAATATTTGCAGACTAGAAAATATGTGAGGCGTAAGGGGCCTTTATCGGCAAATATAATCGCTTAAGTTATACCAAAGGATTTTTTAACAATACCAGAGAAAATCGATTCTATGGTACAGCATTTTAATTAACCAGTTAAATATTGTCTACCAGTTAAAAATTCTTTCAACATGAAGAAACTATGTTGAGCTAAATGATTATGATAACAATGGAAAAGCGTTGACTCTTATAAAAGAATTCCTAATGCGTTTGGGGATATATCCCTGGAAATATCTCGAAATGTGCGTACTTGTATAGCGAAACTGTCTCGAATAAATTAAAATTCATTGAAAAATATGTGAGGAGCAAGTAGCTGGATCGGGAATCGAACCCGAGTTTTCGCTTTTCAGGCAACCTTCCACCGCTCGAAAATAAATGAGTTTAATATTAAGACTTTTTTGATAACATATATATATACATATATATATATATTTTTTACGATTTTACGACTAAATCATGGTTCATATATGTTTATTTATACATATAGAGCAGTAAATAGAAAAATTCTTTATCATTTTATCATTTTTGCAATAATTATTGAAATATTAATTTACAAAAATTGACAAATAAGTGCCTGTTTCGCATAGCTAGATCATGGGATGTGTGCTCTAGGCGAATATGAGAGTATTCACAGAAAAATAATATAGAATATATAAGATAATCGAGACAGTTAGAGCTATTGATGGCAAAACTAATTTACCGGATCCAGTTTTGAGACTGACTTCCATTGCGAAATTTAGTCGCATCATCTGACCGGTCATAGACACTATCACATCACAGACAAATACCTGAAGGGTTCCAAAGGGAAGTGGCTTTTCGTAGATATGTGTTTCGCGAAACCGAAAAGACGATCGACGTCAATGCATTCTTCATTCAGCAGTTCTGTCGCCTTCTGCTCAATGCATCTTTAAGACTGATTCTCGAGATGCAAGAGACGCATCGTACCATTGTTTATCCTTTGTTTTCTTTTGTTTCTTGTCGAATAATAATTTGTTCGAGAAGAAGCTAGCGCATTTGAATAAATAAGATCCGGTATTTTGCGAGTAGCGACGTTCGTATAACCATGACATTTTTTCTTGCTTGTTACACTTAAAAAATCAGTGAACAATTCTTCCCTGTTTCTTAATTATCCCTTCACGAATGTGACTACACGTTTGTCGATCACATGTCACCACCGCCAACACATCACAGATTAATTAATATTGTAAGATTAATCATCGGCTCGATCGACAGATGCAATTATTTATTGATATATAACAAGTGGATTTCTTGCGAAAGATTTTTATACAGAATATGTTTCTTATTAAGGGTCCACTTAATAGCATTCTTGTATAAAGTAGTGTTGCCAGATGACAGATAGCACCATATTTTATATACATAAATTCATATAATATATTTAACCCTTTCCGGCATCAGTCGACGAAGTTCCTTGAGAATTGCTTTTTTTATGTTCCTGCATTCTCGAATAAATGATAGATATAATGTCAAAATGTGTGTACGTAAAATATATGAGCCTCTTATTTCCAAAGTGATGATTACAGATAAATTTTCGAATCTAGACTTGCATACCGCTTTTGAAATAAGTGACTTGTATGTAAATGAGCGTGCCATTCGTTAGATAGCAAATGCAAACAATCATGCAACTAGTTACTGATTACAATTGAGTAACAATTTAAAGAATTGTTATTGTAGGATTATATATAAAGTGTGCTAGAAAGGGTTAATTTTCAGCATCCGCTGTTCATTACGACTGAATAACTATACAATTAAGAGAGTTCATCGAAAATATTCACGTAGAGCATCAAAGACTCCAATAGAAAAGTATTTTTAATTCTCGATTCCAATTCATAACTATTCGCGCACATTCGGCAACAACATTGCGAGAAACGTATCTATAATTATACTATATTATATGTAATGCGCAATATTATACTATGTTTTGCATCATGAAAGGCAGTATAGATGATATTCATTCAAGCATCACTATCTGACAATCTTTCTAAGACTTATTTTATTATAGTTTTAATTTTTTAAATACGTACATATATTTGCAAAAGCTCAAATAAAAAAGATAGACAAAAAATCTATGTAGAGATAAAAAAAAATAAAGATATGTATAATCAAATATATGAGATATCTATAAAACAATGTAGAAAAGTTAAGGAGTAAAAAAAATAATATTTATTTTATTATTTAAATTTTTTTATACTTATAAAAATATAGCGGCTTTTTTCAGATGTAAAACTCGCTCGAGTTTCATAACAATAGTTATGTACAATTATATATGTGTATATCATAAAAAAAGATATAGATATTATATGCCAGTATCGCACATCTATACATCACATAGAAAATTAGTTTATTATTGCGTGTAGAGATAAACTTTTTTACTATTCGTCTGACAGAGGAATAATACCCGCGAATGCATCGCGAATATTCCTTTGACAAGTATAGACTGCAGGTTCTTGTAAAAAAAATTTTTACATATATTTGTACATACCACGGCATATTATTAAGTCCTTCCTCTAGTAGTTAACTTTATAAAAATAATCTCGGCGATTTTTTGCCAGATATATACGGCGATTACTCCTAAGGCACGTATATACAACCCTTGATTTTACTCGCTACACTACGATTACCAGTGTTTATTTATTGTCAAATTATATATATTGTAATTAAATCTACGGCGAATCTATGGTATTCGCAACATACGTTCCTTGAGCGCATATTTATTGTGCCTTTTGGAATTAAATAATGTTAAACATGTGTGTTTTGTTTATTGCATACAACCTCATTTCATTTTTTATATACATACATATATGGACATATTTACATGTATCTGCTCTCTGCAAAAAAATATGAAATTCTCATGAATTTGATTAGGATTCACTTTTAAAAAATTCTTTGGTAATTTTAAACAGTTGACAATTCACCGATAAGCCAAATTGTGTATGAATTAGATTTAAAATATATTAATATCTATCTTTGATATCTATTTAAAATTATATATTTTTGTTTATATATTCAATGCCTTAACAAAATATTAAATATACAGAACATATTTTTTATTTTAATTTTTAGTGATGAAAAATAAAGTTGCAAGTTAAAAATTCTTATCTTAATGAAAGAAAATCTCTATTCAGTTTGTTTATATTTGTAAATTTAGTATTTGAAATTTAAATGTTTTTTTCTTCGTAAAAAGCATTAGAAAACATGTACAAATAAAAAATATATTTTAGGAAATTGCCAAAAATTCCTTAAAATATCTTCTTCATTTGGATTTTCAAATAAAACAATTTGGAAAAGCAGCTCTAGAAAACTTTCAGGATATTTTTTTATAAAATTTAAGTAAACACTCTGATATGTACAATTTTAATTTAAATTTATTTCAGAATTGGAAATGTATCGCATATATATCATGTATATTTAGCATTATTTTTGTTTTACAAGTAAGACTATAAAAATGTTATGTTAATGTATATTAAACAAATATGCCATTTTAATGTATATATATTTTTATACTGATTTTTTATATCTTTCATACTTAGATATTTCAGATTTATTCTGTATCAATTATTATTCTATATTTGTTTATGATGAACTATTGAAACGTTTTATAATGTAACTACGATTTTATAAATGCAAAAGAAAGCATGAAAGAAAAATCTAAAAATTTTAAAAAGAACAAATATATTATCTAAAAAAATTACACGTCATTGTATTGCTCCTTTTACATGGCAACACAAACACCTTCTATAACATATGGGATAGCTTCATTTAGGCTAACGGACTTAAAAATCAAGCAATACAATATCAATTTAGCTATAAAATATAAGTTAAAAGCAAAGCGATTTTTTTCACAAATTATGCCGTTAACAAAATTACATTAAATTGAAAGAAAATCAATGATGCATTTGCTTTTTCTATCGAAATAGTTCTAAGAATATCATCAGCAGTTAAGTGATTTCAACAATCACCTTAGGATTTTTAAGTTTCCTTCAATAGTTTGCGCCACCATGAACTATTGTACTGATTCTTCAATACCGCCCGCTCATTCGTAACAGGTCTTGTAGTGTATTCCTACCTGTTCCGACTGTTCTCAGGAGCCCGGTCATTATAATGTTAAATGATTCGGCAGAGGCCCGTGTTAACGTGCCGATGCCTCGTATCAACGGGCGTTTTTTCTTCGATGTGGAGCACGATTATTACATGATTTAAAAACGATGAGTTGCTACAAGTATGTACCTCTTTAAGTGCAAATTCGATGATCGAGTTAAACTGGAAATTTTAAGGAGGCGCAAAGTATTTCATTAAACTTTTTTATGTCACATTTTTTTTTCAAGAAAAAACCAAGGTTATTGCATTACAAATATATAAATGAGATTGTGCACAGAGTTATTGTATCTTTTTGATCGAGAATGATATATAAAGCAAGACATAGCTCTGTCTTAATTTTTTATTCTTCATCATGAGGAAATTTTCGATGTCCTTGGCGATCGTGAAATGATAATTTGTCCAGTGAACTGGTTTTTGCGGAGACACGCAACTGCTTGCAAAATTATATTTAGTAGCAGATATCCGATAAGAATTAAATAATGGCCAGGCCAGAGCCAGCGAAAGCTTACTTATAACGAAGCGAGAAATTCCAAAGCATTCTCACATTTTATTCCTTATTTTATATTTGCATACATGTATTTGTCAGCAATAAATTTACTTCAATTTTCAAATTTCAAATATTTAAATAATTTCATATATTCGTTATATTAAATATAATTAATATTATTTTCTAAAATATATTAATATTTTCTATATTAATAAATTTATTGCCCATAATTATAGGAATACTTTGGAATTTCTTGTTTCGTTACGAGTAAGATTTCACTGGCCTAATCCTTATTTAATTCTTATTTAATATCTATTAAAAATATAATTTTGCAAATATATAATTAAAATTATTTTCTAAAATATACTAATATTCTTTCATTAATAATAATTTATTATTTTTATTTAGCATATTTATACGTTATAATAGAATATATAATTTTAATAATGTGACTCTATAATTCGGGATAAGGAAAATATTCAAACAAATGTAATTTATAAAATTAATGTTAAAATAAGGAGTCTCTACAAAACCGAAAAGTACGACTTGCAATTGCAGTGTCACATTTGCTGCTATGAGCAACGAAGATTATTAATTCTCTGCAACGTGCACGTGACGTAACTCGATTGTAACGCGTGTTGTCTAGTGCCTAACAGGTCTTAACACGGTATTACAGCACGTGACCATTGTGTCACGATCAAACATCAACCATTTCTGATTGCGGTCTGGCGATAATCTCTTCATTCATGACATTTTGCTGTCAGCAAATCTCTCGAATTTTGTCTTCCCACTAACTATAATTAATATCTTGCATTTATTGCCTAAGTTTATTCAATTTAATCTATTCTGGACATACATTACTTTTATATTATTTTATTACATACATTATTTTTAAACATAATATGGATGCAACATATAGATATGACGACATTAGAGTAGAATATTATTTGTAAAATACTTTGGAAAAAATTTTTCAAGTAATGTTTATATATAATTAGAAATTTATATTTTAATTTTCATCCACGGAAGCTTTTCTTAAAAAAAAAAAATGAATTTTCCGAAAAAGATTTAAAGAAATTAGATATTAAAATTTTTTCTTAGAATATATAAATGCTTTTCTAGGTACGATTATTATATTATACATTTATTGTTAGCATGGAAAATATGTGAGGTGACGTGCAATGATGACCGGAAAATGATCGAGAAATAAATGTCAATAAATATGTTTCGATGTATCAATAAATGTATTTAAAGCTTAATGCGCATCAATAATTGAATATACTTTGATCCCTCGCTTCTCTTCTTCCCGAAAGAGAAAATCAACTTCGCATTGGCTTGCACGTAACACATTCTTACGTAAGAATGTGCGGGCGTTCATGGTTATCTGATTGTTCTCCATAGAACTGACCAGAAGTCATTTCTCGAAAGTTATGCGACCGTCATTACAATAAAATTTAAGAGAGAGAAGATATTGAGAAGAAGACAAAGAGAGAACGAAATAGCAGACGCAGGATCGCTGCTCTGGCACTACATCGAAGGATTTTGCAACAGGGATTGTCACGTTATTCTTGATCCCGTGGGCCATAGTCTGTGATTAACGAGGAAACGAAATTGATTCGTTATACCGTTCCCTATTTTGCCTTATTGCAATCTGATTCCATAAAAAATTCGATTGCATCTCGGATGACGTGTCGACCTGTCAGACCACGTTCTGTCTCCGTCTCTAGAATTATACGCAGGTAACGTCGGCGGCTTGTGTCCTACGCGATATCTCCCAGACAGCAATAACCGCGGGTGCTTTCCCTCATTGTGTGCAAATAGTCATTAACCTCGCGAATACATCGTAGCGTTCCTTATTAACATTACTAATTACACGTGGCGGTTGATCGTAATTCGAGTTTTTGCCACGAAATTCCTCGATCTCCTTGAATATTCCTTCATTTTCAACTCACTAAAATTTTATATTTAAAGTCTTAATTTGATCTCATAAAGAAATCAACAAAATTTTGAATAACAAATCCATATAAATAAAAAATATATCTTTACTCGGATTTTTAATATAAATATTTTAACGTAGTGAGATTTTAATAAGAATAATTATATGGAATTCCTATAGAAAAATTTAAATGTATTCCATTTGTGTCATACGTTCAACAAAAAATCAGATAAACAAAAAGACATTAATGTTGCATTATTTTAATCGCGATACTATGGTTCAATATTTATTTAATTAAATACAATAACGCATTGTCGGGCAAGGCCTCAGAAAGTGTCTTTCTTGATCTCAGTAAGTTTCTTATCTTGAAAATTTTTATCAGCTATCTTTAGCAATAAATAACTCTATAAAAAATTGTGACACTATGATATCTAATATTTTAAATTTTATATACAATAAGTAAAGTTTCTTTAATATATAATATAATAAGTTAAAGTTTCTTTAATAATGCTTGAGTGATTTATTTTGCACACTCATTTTTTGATTTCTGTGCCTATCGTTGTAGAAGGAACACTGAGGAAAAAATTATCTTGAAATAAAAAGATTTCAATTAACTCAAGAAAGCTATTTATTCGGTGGGTACTAATCACGTATTTACTTGTATTCAAAACGTCTGTTTGCTTAAGTTAAGCATTTATTTACATATGTTTAAAAAAATATATATGCTTAAAAAAATATAATTTTTAATTAAATATTTTTATATTTTAATTTTACAAAATATGTATTAAAATGCATTTTTTATTCCCAAAAATTTTAAATCTTTTAATTTTAAAAAATAATATATTTAATTTAATAAATTATAATATATATTTTACGAAAATAATATTTAAATATAAAAAATATATAAATGAAAATAATATAACATATTTAATTAAAATTAAATGCTTTTGCTTAAATAAAATAAACAATTCCTTCCATTTAAAGCACAAGTTTCAAGAAAATAAATTTATTTGATTTAAAAAAATGTTTCCCTCAGTAGTAGCGATCGCGGTACATTATCACCTCGAAGAAATTTTCAGCAATCGCCAACGCGATCAATGGTAGCTTACAATGTCGGCGTGAGACATGAGGTGGCAATGTCGACAAGTACGTATATGCCTACCATCGCGGAGGTGGTTTCAAACGTGAAATAATCACGCGTGGTCGAGCAAGAGAAGTCGAATGAGT